GGCATAGACTCTACTTCTTAACAGGTAAGGAACATTATACGTACCTATACAGCAGAATGATTCAAACCAATATGCTCAAACAAATCTAAGTTGCCACTCCTCTGATTCAAGCCAACAATGTTTACAAAATGCCTACTATGCACTCTGGGCCAGGTTAAGTTTCATACACATTGCATAAACCATCTTATACCTCCTTCTTAGATGAAAAAAAAAAATTACAACATGCAGGAGTTACCTGCCAAGTCCAGCCAAGAAACCACAACAAAAGATGTAGCAAAGCAAAACAAAATGTAGCAAAGTTCCTTGTAGAGTCATCTTGAGCCAGTGAAAAACAAATCCAAGTCTTGTGTAAAGGGAACTCAGACCCTGTTAATTACAAATAGGGCCTGTCATTTTCAGATAAAGAGGGTGACAGTCATCTGTAGAACAATCCCATCTCTTCACCAGATCATGACAGCTTTTTATCCTTACATGGAACTATGAGCATCCATTCTAGTCCTACTGAGCAGCCAAGGCCTGATCTAAATATGGGAAAAGAAAAGCCTTGTTGCCAACAACACTTGGATTAGAGATGAGTTAAACTCCACGACATAGGAGTTACCTGGATACTGATATTTAATTATTGGCTACACAGTGCTACTGTTTTAGGAATGAATGGAGCAGAAATTCAAAAGGGATAACTGATGTACTTGGTCCATCAGAGTATCAGAATAAAATGCTACATGCTTCTGTGATGACAAAAGTGGAAGTTGAGGCAGTGGCCACACCAGCAGGTCCAGGGCAGGGGACAGCCAAGAACAGGAAGGCAAAGTGCCCTCTTATAGCAGTTCTCCAAATGCAATGGCTTATGTAACACTTTACTACAATAATAATGCTGCATAATTTACAATGGGTTCTAATGCACATCTGAGTCGCCTTGGGTCTTTGAAAGTTTGGCAGGGCAGGTTTTATTACCTCCGTCTTCCAAAGAGAAGAACCACCATCAACAAGGTTAATAGAACTTGTCCAGAGTTACACAGTTAAATGAAACTGAGACTTCAACCTGTGTCTAGAATCCAAAAGCAAGGAGTTTCCCACTACCTTATAGGAACAACAGGCCCATTTACCATACATTAGTCCTCTGCCAGAAACACCAAAAAAGCACTTGTGTATAGTTTCAATTCTCTACAGAGATGCTTCCACATTCTTATAAGGAATGAGACTGCTGTGGTGTTAGGTGTAGAAAAAAATACTGCAAGCATTCCCAATGAAAGATCATCTTTTAATGACAAAGCGTTGGAGTTGGAAGGCTCCTCCTAACTTTTGTGGTGACAAGCCAGATATGACTCCAAGCCATCCTTCACACCTCATGGCAAAGGGAATTTAGTACTTCAAGACCTGCAGACTGCCCCTGCCATTAACAATTAAAGGCCCGAATCAACAATGAGAAGCAGAGAGATCTATAAGGTCTAGAAAATTGACCTTACTGGATTTCCAATGGTTTATTAAAACATTGCTATTCTCATTCTTCACAGAAAAGTGTTCAAAGCTAGGTGTGGTGGCACACATGCAATCCCAAGATGCTGAAGCACAAAGACTGTCCTGAGTTTGCAGCCAGACTGGAATACATAGTGAGGTCCTCTATCAAAACAACAAAACATAGCATAACAGAAAGGGGTTCCTGTACAGTACCAAGTCAACAACAGCTAACTATACTTGGATGAAATGTGTACAACAGTTTTTGAAGCACTAATTGTAGAGGAATAACTCAGCCCTCCCACTAACCATTTGTTATTTTTTTTTAATTTATTAGATACAAAAACTGAGACATAAAGGCAAACAGCTTGCCCATATTCACTATGGCTTCAAGACTGCTCAATCCTGAGTTCATACCTTCTAAGCAAATGATTGTCCTTGCCCCTCCGAGATCTGCCAAAAAGAAATAAATTTACTAGAAACCAGTAAATAAGGAAATTAGAACTTCCAAGAGGTCATAAACAGAATGAGAGAATAAAGAAAAATGAATAACACCCATTTAAGCTATGGTTGAAAATGTCACCTTGGGGGCCTTCAAAAGATTCTGCTTTTCTCTTTATTTTCGAGCCCTCAATAAAAGCTAGAACCATGTGTTTTCAATGGTTCTAGCAAAATCATTTTATTAACACTCTTGTCATTTTAAAGCAATATTATAGTATAAAGATTCTGAAAATACTGAACACACAGAATATTAAAAGGAGTGGTACTGAATAGACCATTTACAGTGGCTTCTCATTAATGCCATTTATTAGTGAGTGCTGTTATTCCTCAGATATTGAGTGCTTCTTTACTCTGGAACTATTTCAAAGTGAACTAGTATCTCCATAAGTCAGGCAACACAGAGATATTCATTCCAGATAACAGGTTCACAGTACAAGCCTGCACACAATAATAGAAACCCTCGTGTAAGGCAGGCTGAAAGTCCAGCATCCAGTGGCTAGTAATCACCATGCCATCCTGACTTTACCAGAGACTTCTGTGTTTACAGTGATCTATCTAACTAGGGAAACAGATATTCATGGGAAAACCATCACCCAAGTTTTGGAAATCACTATTTGCACTGAAGGGAGAAATGCAAGGAAAAATGAAGTGGTGATAAATTTATCTAAGAGGCAGATCTTGTAGGAGATGACTCCATTATCTTGGATTCAGATATATTTCATTTTCAATGTGTTTGTTTTAATTGGAGTAACAGCTTATCAAAAACTAGAAATTCAAAGTGATGACAATGACTCTTTGAATTGTGCCAGCTTGTCTTACTGGTAGTGCACACTTTCAAAGTTTATTTCTTTACAACTCACCTCCGCTAATAAACACACCATTGCTTTTTTTCTTTATATCTGACACCTACTATATCAACTACAGAGTAGTACCTTTTTTTTCTTCTTAGTGCTTTTATCAAACCTTGCTTAATGGATATTGATTACATAAAATATACTTTTTGTAACTTGTTGAGATTAATTTTGATTCTTAACTCATAATCAATATTTGTTTCTTATATTAAATGTACATTTTTGTAAAGATGACATGAATATTTGTACAAATAAGTTTCTTTCATTATCCAAATTGACAAAACAATATGTATAGCATTCAATTTCTGTTTTGTACCAACATTTTTGGAGCTGTTGCCTAAGTATTTTTTTCTTTTTTTCTTTATTACAGTTTATTCACTTTGTATCCCAGCTGCAGCCCCCTCCCTATCCTCTCCCAATCCCACCTTTCCTCTCTTTTCTCCTCCCCAAGTCCACTGAGAGGGGAGGACCTCCTCCTTTTCCTTCTGACCCTACCCTATCAGTTCTCATCAGGACTGGCTGCATTGTCTTCCTCTGTGGCCTGGTGAGGTTGCCCCCTCCCCTCGGGGGAAGGTGATCAAAGAGCCACCCACTGTTTCATGTCAGAGACAGTCCCTGTTCTCTTTACTAGGGTACCCACTTGGATACTGAACTGCCATGGGCTACATCTGTGCAGGGGTTCTAGGTTATCTCCATGAATGGTCCTTGGTACTCCATAGTACCTTAACGGTGTGTTTGTTTCACTATTGTATTCCTGGTGCTTAATCCAGACACTGCAGGTACACTGTAGGCAATGTTTAGTGAATGAACAGAACATCTGACAACTTGAGAGATATAAGAACTTTAAGGAGACCAATCACATGAGAGTAATTAAAATCCCACAAAATTGGCTATTTTTGAACACTTCAGGAGCCTGTTCCACTGCTACAGACATGGCCACAAGTTTGAATCTTCTCCAGTGTATGGGATCTCCTAAAAGCTAGATATGATCCTGTATAATAGCCTGAAGGCATTTGTACTCAAATTTGAGAAATACACAGATCCTTCCCAGTATATGTGATAAATTAACCGTTGGCTAGTAAACTGGTTTGGGGGGATGAGGAGGAATCCAAAATGGCATAGACTGTAGTAAAACTTTAGGCCCTGGCTCACTACTTACTCTAAGGTATATACTTCACAACGAGCAGAACTGAGCTGTAGTAAGATGAACCCAGACTAGACAGACACCCCCCCTCCCCCCAGAGACTTGGCTTGTCATATCAGTTTGTCATTAGGTTGCCTGAAACACATGTCACATTAACCTCTTCTGGGCCTCAGTTCTTGCATTCAGGATGAACTACCTGAACTACAATGTGAAAGTCAGGTCAGTTCCCAAATGCTCTGACGCCACTCTGGGAAAGATCTGATTTAGAAACTAGCTACAACCCGCTTGTCTCAACCTCAAACGCGTCAACCCCGTAATATATTTTTCACAGGATATTCACTTTAATTTTGCTTAGGCAAATACTAAAATTAGTTTTCACTTCCTGAGCGCAAAAGACACATAAGGGAGGCAACCCAGCCAAAAGCGCTTGCTAGTAACTGTTCACACTTCTGACTGGTTTTCTATCATCAGGAACTAGCCATTCCTTCTCAGATCTTCTCTCAACTGTTGCAAAAGCAGATACCATCCTAGACACCCATGTATAACACAAAAACACTGGCCAAGAGCGACGAAAAAGGGTTCTTGGCAAGTGCCAGGGTGCCGCTACTGGGCCGGGCAACCAGGGATGAGGCCAGTGTCCGCCCCACAAGTAGGGCCAGGGCAAGGAGCGGTCGCCTTATGGCGGCTGTCCCGCGCGCGTTGACACCGTTGACACCAAGACAGGGAAGCAAAGTGCCAGCAGTGGTTTCGACAACCCTCAGCTCTCCCCATTCCTGCCCCAACCTCCGCCAGCCGCCACATGGAGACCTAGAACAAGGAGAACCAGGGAAGCCAGAGGCAGGCACCTGCCCACCACTCCCAGGCCTCAGCCCTGCCTCGCAGAGAGAGCCAAGGAGCTCCAGCGGACCCTACCCCCACCCCAGTGGGGACAGTCAGGCCCTTTGTGACCGGCTGGCCCAAGAAGTACATACTTCTTCCTTCAGACCCTCCTGTCCTGGGTTCCTGCAACGCCTGGTTCCTTGCCAGGCCAGGCAGGAACGTGCACCCACCTCTTGCTCCAGGAGCCACCGCTGTTGCCAGGCTGCTAGGCTCCGGAGCTCCACTCCGCCCCTCCACGCTCGCCACGCCCCCTCCACGCTCACCACGCCTCTGAGCACCTCGCCCCACCGGGTCCCCAACCGCTGTTGCATTCCCTCCTCCCAGCTCTGATTGGCAAGAGCTGGACACGTGACATGAGGGTGGGTGACCTAAGTAGCTTCTTTTAGCTCTTCACCGGTGAGGCTGCTGGGAAACCGTGTTTGACCGGTCCGGAACATAGAGGCATCTGGGAGTTGTAGTTGGCAGTATGTTACTGGGAATGGGCAGGACCAAAATGCCAGGGTCCATTCCTGTAGAAAGTTGGAATCAGTGCTAGGCTGAAGTCTCACGGAGAAGCTTAGTCCCAGTACTTTCGTACTAACTCAGTATATCCGTCTAAAAAAGGGAGAAATCTATAGGGAAAACTGTTCTAAATTAAATTGTAGCAGATGTCACGAAGTTGAACTATTATTACTGAATGCATGAAGTTGAAAAATATCACTGAATCTGGTACGATATCTGCAACTCATAAGACACAATATAGGTGTGTGTGTGTGTGGGGGGGTGTATGTGATGCTGTGTCAGCACGTTCCGAAGAGCACTACTGAAGCAGTAAAATGAAACAGATCAAAATTTCTTCTGCTTTCTGAGCTTTGGATCAGATAACCATTGAAACAGTAAATAGAAAGTGAAAGCAGGGAGGGGTTGCAAATTTAAAAGGACTGTTCAGTGCTTGATCAAATAAACACACTTAATCTGGCTCATATAAGAATGTGCATGATGTCTCGTTTTTTGTGTTGCATATTATATATGAGAAGTTTAGATAAACGGATTACTTCACCGAGATCTTTTTTCTTCTGTTTGTTGGTTCTAAAAGCAACTCTTTTGCCTAATATCATACAAGTGTGCACACAAATTTGAATATATGCACACATACTTGAACATATATTCAAATATCATTATAAAGTACCCCACTCCATCTTTAGCTTCATTGTCCATAGTTTCAGTTTACTTTTGAACTGTGGTTCAAAAGTATTAAATAGAAATTATAAAAATAAACAATTCATAAGTTTTAAATTTTGAAGTGATGAAATATTTCACTTCTCAGGTCCATCCTAGCTGAAATTTGAATCATTTCTTTTCCAGAACATTCATGCTATCCATATACTTCCTACCTATTAGTTAGTCACTTGGTTGCTGTCTTAGTTGTTGCATTGATTGTTGTGGTACTTCAGGATATATGCTCAAGCAACCTTCTTTCATTTAATAATGGCCTAAAAGCCCAAGAGTAGTATAGTTTTATTCTATTTTATTGCTAGCTGTTGTTATTCGCGTCTTACTGTGCTTGGGTCAGGAGTTGTACTTTTTCCACTGGTCTATATTAATGCATACTTAGTACCATTTATAGTTTCAGGCATCTACTATGGGATATTGGGAGCTCAGTGATTAAGGAGAGTTTGTGTTTGTGTGTTTGTCTGTGTCTCTCTCTCTCTGTGTATGTGTGTGTGTGTGTGTGTGTGTGTGTGAGAGAGAGAGAGAGAGAGAGAGAGAGAGAGAAACTCCTGAGATAATCAACATTACCTCTGTGAATCCAATTCATTCTTTAGCCACTTCTCTCAGTTTGCTTCTCTCTCTGCCTCCAAGTTGACAGGGATCCTCTTATTCTCAAGATATTTCAATGTTTTTCTTCTAGCCCTTTCTGCTTATTCTTTTCTTCTGGACTGGCCCAGCTTCTGGAAAGAAAGAAAAGTAGCACTTTTTTCTGGGCCAGGCAGACTTAGAAGCTTCCCCCAGAGTCCTTTTCATTGTACTGATGTCATCATTTGCTTGAATGTCTGCTCTGCCCATGCCCCTCCCCAGACTGTGAAGTTCTTTGAATTACACTCACGTTTGTGCTGTATTTCAAAGCACACTCATTAAATTTGCATGCTGGAGAGACTCTCTGGTGGCTACGGAATAACTGGATTCTCAATGTCTGTCAATCTTTGGGGTAAAGGGATAGAGGAGAATAAGGATGGGAGGAGGGAAAGCAGCAGCTTGTATGGAGACTTGTATACATTAAGTGTACTTTAAGTGTCCAAGAATGAGATTAAAAAGGGGTGAAGAAGCTAAACAGGTGGTAGCCTAACTTATCCTACAGAGGTCCTTACTAGAGATTTTTTCCACAGTTCATCTGAGTCCAGCCCTAGCCCAACCTCATTTGTGGAAGGATGTAAACCAACTAGAAAGGAACAGTAGAGAAGATTTTCCCCTAGGCTGTGCCTGCCCCACAGTGTAATGGAGACCCTAGGAACACACAGATTTGACAACAACTTGAACGTTGTAAATTTTGTGTTACAGAGGAGTTACCACTGATCTCTTAGTGAAGCAATTGTATTATTCACCAAGTCCTACTTTCTTTCAGGATAGGGTGTGTGTGTGTGTGAGGGGATGACTGGCCTGACAGCTTGAATCATATGGGCAATAGATATGACATGAGGCTATTTCTTCGACAAATTTTCAGAGTTTCACATCCTATACTTATTTGTATACCCTACCACCAACTTGGATCCTGGATATTCTAACCATTGCTAAGACTTGTGCTAAGTGCCTCCTGCCTTCTGGATGTAACTATGTTCACTGAAGCTGGAGGAGTGGTATAGGCAGAGCCAGGAGGGGCTCATAAGAGATCCTGGGCTTCCACCTGACATTTCTAAGTCCTTGACCTTCATGGGCCAATATGGGGGAAGGTAGAATAAAGGAAGGTACATCCTTGTGAAGGAAGAACAAAGCCAAAGAAAGACTGAGTAAGACTATCCCTGAGCAGCAGAGGGCTCCAGCAGGATGCATTCAGAATCAGGAAGTGATTTGGATCCCAATAAATTTATATACAACCTGCTGGCTATGGGAAAGCCATTTCACCTCTCAAAACACTAACTGCTCCCTCTGGGGGAAAAAAAAGTCCTAGAACAGGTTCAAGGATTGTCATATCCTTGTATATCTAAGTTAAATGAAAATATATCAAAGAGGCAGTGTTTCCTAACCACCAGGATGCTCATGAAAGAGAGATGAGAGAGAGAGCTGGGCATCAAGGTACCAGGATTCAAATCCTAGTTTATCTGTGCAAATACTGCTCTATAAACTTCCACTTTTCATCTGTCAAGTGAGAGTATTACTCTGCTGAGATTACAGGCATGTGCCTCCAAACCAAGCATTTATTGGCTACACAGGGAGTGTGAAGCCAGACTTGACAACTTGAGACCCTGTCTCTGTATTGAAACCCATTATTTTGTATGCTAACTAAAAACATTAATGAAAATACAAATGCTCAAATTCCCACTACTAATGAATAGTTAAATGGTTGCTATATTCACACAGTGGTATATAACTCAGCAACAGAAAGGAAGAAAGTTATGATATATGCTACAACATGAATAAATCACAAAATACCATTTTAAGTAAAATAAACTCTACACAAATTAGTAGATAGTATGCCATTATATTTATATTATAGTTTGTTTTATGGTACTGAGAATCAAATTTTTAGTCTCAGTATACCAGGCAAGTGTTCAACCATTGAGCTACACTCTCAAACCCTTAAATACCAGCTTGGAAAAGACAAAACTATGCTAATAGAAGTCAGATTTACAGTTGATTGGGGTCACAAGTCAACCAGAGGAATGGGAGAGAACTGACTCCAAAGGTAGCAACAGGAAAGTTTAAGGAATAATAGAAATGTATTGTGTCTTATTTGTGATGGTAATTATGAAACTGTGTACAGTTGCCCAAACTCCAACTATGAACATGACATATATGAGTGAATTTCAGTGTAGGTAAGCTGTATTTCAAGAAAATTGAGGTAAACATGGTATGGGGGTGAGGAAGCCTGGAAGAACAAAGCAAAGGGAAACTTTCCCTACATTCTTAGGAAGGCTATACTATATCATGAGGGCAATGGAGGGGTGCTGCTGATTCATGCTCTTTCTGTCACTCCTGCTTTTCTCACAGAACTCAGTTGAAATGGGGCCTGACTGGTCAGTAATCTCTCTTTTCCCAGGTGTTCAATGGAAGTTTAAAGCAAGTAATGGTGTGTAAAAATATTCACTCAGAGACAAATCTAGCTTCTTTGTTCCAACAGATCCTTGGATACAGCACTGTTTCCCAGGAAACATTACTAGGTAAGGTGTTCACAGTGCAGGGTGGGAAGTGCAGTGAAGGATATGACTCTGAGGTCCATTCTAGAAAGCAACATAGTTTAAAAAAATGTCTTGAAGTTCAGACACAAATCAAAGCCAAAGTCACAAGATTTTCTTACTCTCTGTGCCTCCAGTCCTAAGAGGTCTTTTTGTTTTTCTTTTTTTCCCTCAGTGCTGTTGATCAAATCCAACAGCTCAAATACACTAGCCTATAGGGCACTAATGCTATAGCCCCACCCTTTGTTTTGTGAGACAGGGTCTTGATATGTGCCTGACACTGGCTTTGAACTTGAAATCTTTCTTGTTTCAGTCTCACAAGTGCAGGGATTACAGACATGCAACACCTCATCCAGCTGAGTTTTTTTTTTATTTTTTTAATTTTTATTAATTACACTTTATTCATTTTGTATCCCCCCATAAGCCCCTCCCTCCTCCCCTCCCGATCCTACCCTCCCTCCCCTTTCTGCCATGCGTGCCACTCCCCAAGTCCACTGATAGGGGAGGTTCTCCTCTTCTTTCTGATCTTAGTCTATCAGTTCTCATCAAAAGTGGCTGCATTGTCCTCTACTGTGAGTTTTATTTTTAATCTCAGTTTCTTACATTATTTTCTTTTGAGAAAGTAAGCCCTGTGGGGAACAAACAGTCAAATGTGCTTTACTTCCGACAGATTATTAAAAGAGCTTTCTCTTTTTATCTTACTGTTTCATGGTGACAAGAGTACTATACCATTCAAACATATAATAAAAACTGAAAAAAAAAACATGAAAAATTTGTCCGTGAATAGTCACTGAACCTGAAAAAAATTGAGTTAAAGCTAATAAAGCAACAAAACATTTGTGGAAAACCTT